GAGGCTGAACCCTCAACAGTCTGCAGAATCCCCTAACTGATTACACTGTAAGTGATAATCCACCTTAACCCCGACTGTGGTTAAGCATCAACGACTGCCCGACAACTGATACCCTGAGGTGGGCACCAACCACTGCCCTCAAGCTACCTGTGGCAAAAGTCAAAGCAGACTATCACTCACCCACACCAGATGGAAAACTTTACAGACTGTCGGTTCACACCCCGTCACAAGCAAGCAAAACACCCATGAAACAAAGAAAGGTCTGTCACAGCCAAAAAATACACTCCAGACATATATACCATATTTGAACAAATCTGTAACAATTGGCAGGAGTGTCGAACTGCGGCAACAACACTTACTCGTCGTATGCTTTCGCGTGGGCATTCCCCACCCACCCTTGCTAAGGGGTGGACCTGCTACATGCGCTCCTGCCAACGTCGCTATCCTACACATGTGACGCGTCTCTCTCAGTGGTTCTGACACATGTTGCGATGGTCCTTGTATCATCCAATTTCTTCTTCGCCCCGACGATGCTCTCGTCCTGCCCCTACTTACTCACCTGCTGCTACCGCAGTCTCCACTGCTGCAGTCTCCACTCCTGCAGTTTCCGATGTTGGAGTCTCCACTCCTGCAGTTTTCACTGCTACAGTATCCACTGTTGTGGTTTCCACTGCTGCAGCGTCCACTACTGCAGTTTCCACTGCTCCAATTTCCACTGCTCCAGTGTCCACTGTTGCGGTTTCCACTGCTGCAGTTTCCATTGCTCCAGTTTCCACTGCTTCAGTTTCCGCTGCTGCAGTTTCTACCGTTGCGGTTTCCACTGCTCCAGTTTTCAGTACAGCAGTTTCCCTAACTGTAATTCCCCCTACTTTAGTTTTTACTGCTACAACTTTCTGTCCTGCAGCTCCAATGCAAAGAACATCACAATCTCTCCGACGCTCATGTCCTTTGCTCCGAAATCTTGCCCAATGCACCCCCCTCTCATCTTTGTCTGTGCTTGGCCGTAGACGACTGCGTTCCTCCTCACCACCCCCATCTCCTCCATGGTCTCGCTTGCGAACAGACTCTCCAGTTTCCATTGTCCTCATTGTTCCACCTGCGCTGCTTGGTACAAGTTCAGCTTCTGTTTGCAACACTACTCCTCTTGTTGTGTATCACCGACGACATCTACAGCATCATCACTTGTCCGGGGATCAGCAACCTGTTTCTTTGTCTGCCCCGATTCTTTTTGTGCCTCCTCCACAGGTTGTTGTGGTTCCTTTGTTTCAAACGGCAATATCCGCTCCTATGACTCCTGCATACAGTCCATCTGCCTGCAGTCAGCCACCAGTCCCTACTCAGGATGCAGCCGCTGCCCTAAGTACACTCCCGACTCCAGGTATAGTCCCTACTCAGGATGCAGCCCTAAACGTTGAGGGATTGGAACAGGATCTGCCCGGATCGCAGTTGACCCCACAAGGCGTAGACCACATGGGGGATCTGCAAATGGATGACCAACATTGTTAGGATGAAACACAATCTTGTGCTCCGCCACACGCAGACCACATCGGTGATCTGCAAATGACTGACCAGCAAACAACCTAACACAGTTTGGGCTTGCAACACCATCTGGGTGATCTGCAAATTCTTGGCCAGCATCCAACAAACCAGCCTGAGAACCTCGGCAATCTCTGTGGTTTGACAACAACTTATATTTGTCTTCACATTCTCCATCGCCCGTTTTATACACCATCAGACTTCCTTGCAATCGCCCTTCAGCTTGATGCTGATCTTCCCCAACGACAGCCAGAGGATTGTAATTATACCAGCGAAGGAGGCTTTACCATTGCTGTCCTACAACTAGCAATGAGGGGCCGTCAACTTGAACTACGCAATGCTCGACCAGGTGAGTGGTTTAATCCTCCATCCCACATCTCTGCCTGCATTGTGCACGGCCCTGGCCATTACATGGCCATTGTACATGCCTCTGACCACTGGGAGCTGTGGGACAACGGCACCATCATCCATGCCATGATTGATGTCACTGATTTCTTACAAAATGATGTTGTTTTCTTGCCACAACAAACCGTCCGCAATCTCGTTTATGTCGAAGATCTTTCCTCTGGCCCCGTGCTGCAACAAGACAATGTACCAACACTTTGCGACCTTCTCCTTTGCACAACTACAAACACTGTTTCACTCGGCTGTGGCTGCAATCGTCTCTGTCACAATCACTACAATGACATGGTTTCTGCATCCATGTGTGCAGAGGACTGTCCCTCCGTTCACGACTCCTGGCACCCTCCGCATCCGGACACTATATGTCCATTTTGCGGCCATGGGCGCTATACTGAATGCATGCTCTTTTGTGGTGACCGTTCTTCTTTCATTTTGGCCTGCAATCGACATGCCATTTGTCGGGGGTGTATGGCGGGCATGCTCAATGCCACCCGTCGTGGCAATTGTTGCACTGAGAATGCTAAGCTAGGTCTTCCATGTGTTCATCCACGTCATCCTTACAATGTATGTCCTCTCTATCGTCAAGGACAGACTCATTCTTGAGCCTTTTCTTATCCTCTTTTGCCCTCACCTTCACTCCACACTCCATACTTTACCTTACTTTACCTTTATCGTTCTTTGTTTGTCTGCTCTCCATCTCTCCTCCCTGTGTTTATCCCCTCCCCCTTCACTCTGCCT